ATGATATCCGGTCGCTTGGACGGATTCAGGATTCCTGTAAAAAATCGGTGAGAATTCCAGGAATTCGCCCGAAGGCAATGGACGGAAGATTACTTGATCTAGGTTTTGCACCAAAAAATAGGAAATAAGATATTTCAGGGATTGAATAAGAAATTTCAGGGGCTGAATTTCTTATTTCTTTGGATTTCGGCCGGACCAGAAACTCAGGAAATTAGAAATTTCAGGGCTGAATTGCTTATTTCTTTGATTTTCGGTCGGTCAAGAAAGGAAATAAAAAATTTCAGGGGCTGAATTTGTTATTTCTTTGTTTTTCGACCGGTCAAAAAAAGAAATAGGAAATTTCAGGGCTGGATTTCATATTTTCTGACTGGCCCAGGAAGATTCTCCAAAATTTGCACAGGCGCATTGTATTGGCCGGAGGGAGAGGCGGCGGAAGATTAATGATTTGAACCTCGCCATCCTCCCAAAAGCGGTTTATAATCGCTCCGGGCTCTTCGTCTATATTGAGCCCTGGATGCATCAGATATAAGCGAGATAAGAAATTAAGATTAAGGATATACGAAGCTCGGCGATTATTAATTATAACCTTGATCCGAGCGCTATCTAAATAAGAAATTCGAGATATCCTACTTCGGATAGAATAATTTTTTATCTATTGCCGTCATTAGGCTCAAATTTTTCTAATATCAAATTTATCATTCAAAAAAGAAAAGTCCAATCAAAAGTCGGAACGAAATTTTTCTAGTCTAATTAAGAATATCTCAAATTATCTCTTTATGGAATTTTAAATTCCACAAGAATTAAATATCCAGAATAAAAGAATACTATCCCTTCACCAATAATTTGACCATAATTCATATTTTAGAATATAAATAAAACTCTAATAGAATAATATTTTTTTCTATATTTTGTATTTCCCATTACTTTTCAATATAATATATTAAAGAATTAATTCTATTTAAATTCGAGAGAATAGAAATATATTTAATTTAAAATCTCATCATTATTTAATATTTATAAATATAAATATATATCCTCATGCTAGAAATAATATAATATAAAACGAATTATATAAAATCGGTTTACCTTACTCTACGACCGATAAAATACCCCTTCTATTAACGATATATATATATATATATATCATAGGATCTCTATTTATTCTATTCATAAATAATCCTAGCACCTTATAAAAATATAATGAAGTCGAATAATAATATATAGGATCGCCACTAATTATATTAGACTCGTAAAGCCCCCAAAAAGAAATATTATATAATTAATCGATTCAGATCAATCAATCATCTGTATGATCTCCCCAATAATTAGCAATATTATCGTAAGATCATTATAAAAAGAAATAAATATATGATTCAAATATATGATGATCCATATATGAAATATCTCTATTAATCTGAAATCTCCATAATATATCAAAATATATTTTCGATTCAAGATAATATGGGCATCTCTTCCCCAGCCGTTACGTGATAACAAAAAATCGAATATACGATGCGAATAGAACAATCCAAAAACACTCACCACTTTTCTGAAGTTGTTTCAGAAGTTGCAGATCCTTTCTATGTTTACATACCCTGTTCATACCCTGTAGGACCGTAGGATTAAACCCCCCTACCTTGTAGGGGTGTGCCCAGCCAGACACCCCTCCGGGGATAGCAATTGGCACGGAACATGACTGTACAAAGGATTTTGGGAATCCATCACTTCTTGATCGGATTCTTGGTGCTCGCATTCTTGAAGCCGTCGACCCAGTTGATGGCCCAGAAGTCGTGGGCCAGCGCAGGGTGGCAGATGTACTCATACGGCATGTAGAAGTAGCCCTTGTCGCCCCACCTGACGGGCCGCAATTAGGCAAACAACAACAACACCGAATCTGCCATACCCTGAACAGCTATACCTAGCCCAGCAACGCTTCTCCCCAGGAGTTGCGGACGATGAAGCACTGCTGGAAGTCGTCGTAGCCTACGGCGCACACGGCGTGGCCGCCCAGCTGCTGGTCGGTTGCCTGGGGCATCACCATCTTGCCGGTCCGGGCAACCTCCGCTGTCTGGAAGCTTGTCAGGACGGCAAAGCCGAAGACGAAGGGGTAGCCGCTCTTGATGCACATCTTGAACTGACTCAAGTCCTGTGCCACACGCGCATAGCCGACGACTTTGCACTTCTGTGCAAGCTCGTAGGCCTTGTCATTGGGCTGCTGCTTGAAGAAATCATGCTGGTCATCATACTTCCAGACGCTCTCTGGGCAAACGCCGACCTTGGACATCGTCTTGATGCCATCGCGGAGCATGGCACCGGCGTCCTGGTTCACGCTGCCTTCGACGAGTCGCTCGTTGTAGTAGATGAACAGTCGGCTGGGAGTGAAGTCTGCGAAATCCTTGTGGTTTTCCACCTGCATCTTGTGGAGGGTGAAGTGGAAGGCTGCTGCCAAAGCGTTTGCTGTGCAGCTGCCGAGATGTCCCTGATCGAAGATGGGGAAGCCACCGTTCATGGGTCGCAGGTCAATGATCTCCTTCGCTCCTCAGCTACACACGGCAAAGCAGTGGAGCGCACGAAAACGCCACACCCGACGATCTAGGCTCAATCAAAAACCTTCGTGCAAATAAAGCTACGACCGCTAGTAGTCTTCCTTAGATGCATATCGAGCTTCCCTCGGCCTTCTTCTTGATGTGGCTAGGAGCATCAACCTTGCCAAAGGTTAAATGGAGGTCGCGATGGTCTGGCATGTCTGGGCGCCAGCCGAACTTCATGTTCGTGCGCATGGGCAGGGACACGACGTTGGGATGCCTGGGCGCCCCTCCGATCGGCATCTTGCCACTGTCTGACATGCTGCTCGTGTTCTTGAAGCCCTCAACCCAGTTGATGGCCCAGAAGTCAGAGGCAAGCGCCGGATGGCACATGTACTCGTAAGGCATGTAGAAGTAGCCCTTGTCGCCCCACCTCTCAAAATATCAAAAGGGACTGGGCAAATACAGCTATCACCTGAAATTATTTGATATCCGTCCCACAGTTGCTCCTAAGTGATCGGAGTTCCTCACAGCGAACTTCGACCAACGCACAGCGAGCTATGGCTAAAGCACCAACTCTTGCAGACTCTACGACTCTACTTTGTAGACGAGACACGCTTCTCCCCAGGAGTTGCGGACGATGAAGCACTGCTGGAAGTCGTCGTAGCCTACGGCGCACACGGCGTGGCCGCCCAGCTGCTGGTCGGTTGCCTGCGGCATCACCATCTTGCCGGTCCGGGCAACCTCCGCTGTCTGGAAGCTTGTCAGGACGGCAAAGCCGAAGACGAAGGGGTATCCGTTCTTGAGGCATGCCTTGAACTGGCTGAGGTCTTGTGCCACACGGGCATAGCCCATGACCCTGCACTTCTGCGCCAGCTCGTAAGACTTGTCGTCTGGCTGCTGCTTGAAGAAATCTGGTCCATCGTCGTACTTCCAGATGCTCTCCGGGCACACTCCGACCTTAGACATCACCTTGATGCCGTCACGAATCATCGCCCCAGCGTCCTGGTTCACGCTGCCTTCGACGAGTCGTTCGTTGTAGTAGATGAACAGTCGGCTGGGAGTGAAGTCTGCGAAATCCTTGTGGTTTTCCACCTGCATCTTGTGGAGGGTGAAGTGGAAGCCTGCTGCCAAAGCGTTTGCTGTGCAGCTGCCGAGATGTCCCTGATCGAAGATGGGGAAGCCACCGTTCATGGGTCGCAGGTCAATGATCTCCTTCTCTCCTCGAACAAAGACGAAAGATGCAACTGCAAAAGAAACGCTGCAATCGTCAGGCGACGCGCGTTTATAAACCAAAACCAAACAGCTGCTGTCTCCGGGCCACGTGTCCCTCGGACTTCTTCTGGATGTGGCTCGGCGCATCAACCTTGTCAAAGGTCACGCGGAGGTCACGGTGGTCTGGCATGTCCGGTCTCCACCCGAACTTCATGTTTGTTCCTGGGCTCTGGCGAAACTCCTTCTTCAGCTATCTAGGCTTTATTGAAGTGACTAAAGCCGGATGCTTCAATCGCAGTCTCTCACTCTCGCAACCACGGGAAAGCATGCGAGGTTCGCATGGGCAGGGACATGAGGCTCGGATGCCTCTGTGCCGCTCCCACCTGCAGCTCGCTGCTGGAGCTCACGCTGCTCGCGTTGCAGTTCCCCATGCTTGGTGGACCTTGGTGAATTTAGGGTCGATTCAGCTTTGGTTTGAGGCCTTAAACCCCAAAGCCCTAAACC